AAAGTTCGCCTGCGAGCTTTGTCTCTCCAGAAATGCGCCTCCTATACCCTGTCCTGCGACAGGCGGAAATGGCCCCGAGACTATGCATCTCAGCCGGTTTATACTTCCAGTGACGTCAGAGCTGCGATGTCAAAATGTGCGACCAAATGGATGGCCCCAACAAAGCAGAGCTTTAAAGCATTAGCTGTGATGCTCTGCTTGTGAAAGTAAATCTGTTGGGCAATTTCTTGGCACTCAGACAACAATTCTGAGCGATACTCTGAGCGATACTCTGGATACTCAGGACACGGTAAAAAAAATAAAATAAAATGAGCTTCCTCCGTAGGGTGGCCGGGCACTCCCTTAGAGATAGGGTGCGGAGCTTTGCCATCCGAGGGGAGCTGCTGATGTGGAGGAGAACTGCTGCTCCTCCACATCGAGTCTCCAGCATCTATACTGGATGCCTCCTGGACGCCTTCCTTGGGAGGTGTTCCAGGCAGGAAGTCGTCTGGTAGGTTGTTCCAAACATCTTGGAGAACTAACCATAGATCTTCTGTGGATGTAGCTTTCTCACATCCTTCTGCCTCTTCATGTAATCCCAGACACTCTTGATGATGTTGAGATCAGGGCTCTGTGGGGCCCATACCATTACTTCCAGTTATTATTGGGTTTTTTTTACGCTAAAGATAGTTCTTAATGACTTTGGCTGTATGTTTGGGTTCACTCACTTAGCATTTTGTAAATTGATAAAAACAATCATCATTTATATTTCTGAAAGCATTCTTTGTTTACAGCATTTTTTTCTTATTGTAATTCCAGGCCCCAAGACAGTCCAGAAGAAGGAATGACATTCATGGTTACGCTAGTGGATGGGCATCCCAATCTGTGGAGTCTGGGAAGGCTGGCCTCAATCTTCAGCCCATCTGAAAAATAGGACCCAGTTGTCAAGATAGTTGCCAAAGAGTCTGGGCCGAGTGGGTACCTGATAAACCCTAATGCCAGGGCCAGTATGAAATTGAAGGAGTATGAACCAAAGATTAAAAAGATGATCCAGTTCAAGGAAAAGACCAAAGCCATCCCGGATGACAATGAGGAGAGCTTGCTTGAAGAGCATATTGATGATGACAGAAAGGGACGAAAAACAGAACACAGACCTGACTCGGACATACCAACTTTTGACTTAACAGTAGACACAGGTAGTGATGAAGAGGGCAACAATTTAGAACAAGAGAAAGACCAAAGGAAAGATGAATCAGGTCTGGGACCATTAATCACCCCCTTTATCGCTAAACAGAAAGGCGAGATTGTTGTGCTGATTGCTCAGACCAAACAAGAACTGAAGAAAGCTGCCAAAGAGGAAGTCTTCTTGTCAGCAGCCATCAAGTGACATGGGGGAACCCTAAAACGTCTGACCAACATCCCAAGCCACAGAGAGCAGGACAATTAAAAAGAGACCTTGCTTCCCAATGTGAACAAGAAGCCAAAGAGAACAGCACTAAGAATCAAAATGCAGCAACAAGAAAGAAAGACGTTGATGAAGAGGGGCCAACAAAGGTTACTCATAAGTCAGACAGGGTCACAATGAGGGGAGTCCTAGACTCGATGCCACAGGATGCAAGATGAATTTCCCTTTTATTATTTTAAGATATTTTTTCAGCACTAGTGGCCTTTATTTTTTGACAGTAGGCAGACAGGAAAGAGGGGTAGAGAGAGGGGAAGACATTTGGCAAATGTCGCCGGGTCCGGGACTCGAACCCAGGCCGCTTCGAGGACTGTAGCCTCTGTTTATGATCACGCGCTTAACCCCTACACCATCAGCGCCGCACCAAGTTCCCCTTTTAAATGGAACCCGACTCTACCAAGTTATTTAGGACCCTTGGGACATTTTTCACAAATGACAAATTCAAAATCCACAATTCTAAATTCAGAAGAAAATTAAGGGCCCAGGCTGGAGAAGGTTCGAGAGCTGAAACAACAAGTGAGCCAAGACAAAGCAAGTAAAGTACATCTGACTAGTGGGGTCAACCTCCCTTTTTCAGGCCCTCTAGGAAGTTGCAATTATTAACGCAAATTCAAACATTATCCGCGAATGTTGTGAGTCACTATAATTTTTACCAATTATAGTGACTCCTGCACAAATCTGACCAATTACCTTAGCGTTTTCTATGTTTTCCTTCTTTTCTAAAAAATCAGTGCAAAATGGCTGAATTTTGACCATTCCCTTTAGCCTTCTTATTTCAATCCTGTTTCCTCAATTTAAAGACGTCTTGGAAGCCAAACCTGCAAGATGAAAACGTGTGACGCTAAAAGTTCACATTTGCCATCAAATATTACAGCTATGTAATGCGGCCAAGTCAGTTTCCGTATGTCTTACACCAAAGTGGTGGTTCAACCAAAAAACATATGAGAAAAATGTCTGAAAAGTGAGAACCACAGAGATGGCAAGTTACCATGATGGAGGCTGTAGCATCCACGTGAGTTGCAAGCACCGAAAGAAACAAAGCGAGTTTTATTTATTTATTTTTTTGTTCGAACAAATGAAAATAAAATAAAGAAACTTCCATAAACATATAAAAGAGCATGTCCGTGTCATGTTTGCCATTTTGGGGTTGTGTTTTACCTGTTCCCTTGTTAGGTGTTTTTCTGGTCCTTCTTAATTGTTGTTTACTTCTTTTAGTTATTACTTTCTAGATTCTTGTGTTTATGTGTTTGTTTCCCTTTAGATCAGGTTTTTGTTATTTAGTCTAGTTTCCTTTTACTCTGTGTTGAAAATTAAAATCATGTACTTTCATGATATTAGTTTAGTTTGCATGTGGGAACATTAAACTGAGATTTAACATGAGTGAGCCTTGAGGAGAGATCACAGATCACAGCAGGAGTCAGGATGGAGCAGGGGTTCTCAGCAGCTGCAAGCAGTAAAAGCTGGCTGTAGGGACAATAAAGCAATAAATGTCAACTTTTGGGCATGGCATAGATACCACAAGGGAGATTGGCTGATTTACAACACCAGACTGCAAAAAGGGGAAGCCACAGTCAGTAAGCTTTGAAGTCAATGGTATAAAGATGTTCTGGAACTTGTAATGACAGAGACCTCTGGGTAAAGACATGCTTTGCTGAAAACCTGCGATCTCTCTCCATAAGGCCGTATGTAAATTTTCTTTCTTTGTGTTATTCTGTAACAGAATAACACAAAGTATGTATTCATTTTGCATTAGAAATCATTGGACTTATTATCTTCCAAATTAAACTTGTGTTAATCTTAATTTCTTGCTGTTCATCTGTTCTTTCTCACGACATCCGGACTGGGAGAGGTTGAGGCCGCAAGGATATCAGTGATAGAATTATTATTACCTCAACAGTGGCTAATGCTTGTTATGCCTTGCTGTTGTCTCTTTTATAACCTTTTTCCTGGTGTGTTCCTGCTGGATGTTAGGGATTAGAAAGACAAACATAATAAAATTCCTTTCCCAGTGATGTACTCGATGATTACTAAATGTATAAAAGGATCTCTTCCTAATCGGAGTTACTTATAAAACATAAAAGGGATACAATCAGGAAGTTTTAGCTATTGCTGCTAACAAAGCCCTAAAAGGCTGCCCATTTCCATTATATGGCAAACAAGAGCATAGAATTGTTCCAATCCGACCTTCTTGGTAATTGCAAACAGTGTATATAAAGAAGATTTGAAAAGCTCCAGAGAGAAATCCTTTGAAGGTGTTGCTTAATTGTGTCTTTTTGATGTGCTGTACGCAACACAATGGCTGCTGCGGTGAGCTACAGAAGCAGAGAACAACAAGACGACAACTGAGTGTGGTTTGTAGAGGGATAAATGCAGCGGGGCTGCAATGGGAAACAAAAAGATGCACACTATAACCTTTCTATTTCTGGGTCATGAAACTGTCTGTGTTTGCAACCTGAGGGCACTGTGTTGTTATGATTTGGAGAAAACACATGTATGTAGTTTTAATACCAACATATCAAAAGGGCAGGTTTATCTATCCGAATGCCTCAACTGTTTCCTCTACAGAACAAATGCCAAGAGAGGGTAAAACTATTGTGACTTAAAAAATTTAGTACAAAGATGTTTATACAAAAATGACTGAACTGTGCTTGTACTTTTTACTTTGAATGGTTTTCCATTTTCCAAGAGTTTAAAATGTAACATAAAAAAAAAAAAAAAAAAATACAAAATAGAAAAAAACTGAACTCACTGAAAAATATGACAAAATGTAAAGATATGTACATAGCACCTGGATAGACTAAATTCAACTTTTCTGCACACCTACAGACTCCAAGTACACAACAAAATGTATTTAAGGACTTAAAAAGTGTTTTTTGCATAATATGTCCACTTTTAGTTAATTAAACTTATATTTTATATGCATAACCGAGCCTTGCCTACATGCCAACTCTGTGACAGCTGGTTTAAATGTAAATAGAGCCTGTATAATGTAATCAAGGTGGAGGTGCGGGGGTGATGTTCTATATAAAAGGAAATTTGACATAGAAACAAATAGAAAGGGCATCATTAATACTCTTGAATGTATTGATATAAACGTAACTGTCATAATATGCCGTTTGTGGTAGGACCAAAGTGCAGTGAAGGTTCCAGGAGCCTGCAGAATGAAGGTTAAGTAGAATTTTTAATTATCGTTATTTGCACGTCAAGGTAGGCAACCAGGAGTATGACATGCTTCAACCAGACCAGAGTACAGAATTCCAGATATGTGGATTATAGAACTAGACACGACACAATAATGAAAACTAAAGAGCTTAAATACAGACAGTACAGGGAGAACCAATGAACAGAGGGAAAGAGTAATCATGGGGAACAAGGAACAGGTGTGGGTCAGACTGCAAGGGGTGAAACCAATTAACAAGTCAAAACACAGAACAGAGGGTACATTATGGACCAGACCAGGATAAATAAACAAAAACAAACACCAGACATGGCACATTGTGACATTAACTCTCATCACAAATGTTAATTGCATTGATTCGAATTTATAGACCTCCATCAACCTCTGGCATTTTTTTATGATGAACCAGAGGCTTTTCTTAATAAATGTGATTGGAAGAAAGACATAACGACATAGAAATAAACTGGTTTGATAAATCAAGTAAACAATAAAAATTGTTAACCTGTTACACTTGATCTAAAGACCTACTAAGTAAATCATCCGTAACAAGTATCGATCTGGTGTTCAGCAATGTGTCTGATATGTTTACTGGTCTGTCTGTTCACAACTTTATACTTTTTTAAAAATTATCCAAAAATCTTTGTTCATCCTTTTAATGAAGCATCTGAGCACCTAAAAGTGAAATGAAAACTTTGGAAGTTGCATTGAATGAGATAAATCAGGCTGATCATTTCTCAGATGTTAGGGTAAATGGAACGTGCGGAGAATTCGTGAACGTATTTATGACACGAATCCAAGAAACAATAAGTCAGTTTCAACAAAACACAAAGATAAGACCACAGAAAAAATATCTGTCCTGGATGAACATTTGGACATTAATGAAACCCCTAGATTATGCTCTTAAAACGGCATTAAAATCTAAATCAATACATGAAAGACAGACAAAAAAAGCAGCAAACATTTTTCTTAATATAATATGCGTAATGTGAAATGGTAAGGTAAAGAAATCTGGACAAACAAGGAAATTAACAGGAAATACTACAGCTTATTGGAATATTAGGGAAATATAATTAAATGAGAAAGTACTTAATGATCCAAAAACATTGCAGCAGCCCGCAACATTTATTTTGCAAATTCTGTTAGGAATCTAACAAAATTTACTGACTTAAAAGTTTTAAAGACAATACCTTAAAATATTGATTCCCCATCATTTGATTTGCATATTATATCTTAAATAGCAAACCAAAAGGATAATTAGTGGCATAAAAATATATTCTAAAGCAAAGCATAAATTTGGTCTAGATAAAACATTTTTCAAGAATCATAAAAAAGCACCTATTGTTCTTATTGCAAATCATAAAGCAATCCATAACAGAAAATGTTGTTCCAAATTCATGGAAATGCTCAGTAATTACACCAATCCATAAATTTGGTGATCCTGCAGAGCCCTGCAACTATAGACCAATGAGTATTGTTCTTGTAATCTCTAAAATAGCTGAAAATGCATAGTAGAGCAGATTACTAACATCTCAATAATAGTCAGTTTCATCTTCACCCAATACAGTTTTGTTTAAAAAATAGACCATTGAACTGTAACAGCTATCTGCTTCTTTTCTGGAAAAAATGTAATCTAAACCTGATAAATGTGGTGTGATTGGAGCAGTGTTTATTGATATAATAAAAACATTTGACACTGTCAGTACCCAGATACTGTTGAATACATTATCTTAATTTAATTTGTCACAGAGAAGACAATGTGTCAGGGTACAAAATGTAACTTCTACAACTTATCAAAATAATATAGGTGTACAACAAAGTTCAGTTCTGGGACCAATATTGATTAGTCTGTATATGAATGTCTACATATTTACAGTATCAATAAATTCGAATATATATTCCAATGAAAATTGTTTGTCAGATTAAAAGTATTTTTTGTAAATAACAATCTTTAGGCAGGTATAAAATATACATTTCAAAAAACCCACATTTGTGTATTAATTTTGTTTTTGTCTTAAATGTTGTGTTTTCATTAGGCTGTCAGCAGAAAATCAGAATTAACAGAAATAAAGGCCTGAAAACATCAGTTTGTGTGCATTTAATCTGTATAATGTGTCACTTAAAGAGCTGAGTTACTGAAACATATTAACTTTTTTTAAGTATAAACTAATTTACTTGATTGGTC